CTGCAGAAGTTAAGTACTTCCCTTGTGTTCATGGTTTACCTGTGGAGTGAATGCAGAGATCTGCCTGGTAACTCTGTAGCTGATCTGCATCAAGCAAAATAAAAAGCTGGTCTCTACTCACGAAAGGCACATTTGATTCCCATCGACTTTGGTTATTAGTGGTACGTACTGTACGTCAGTAGATTTTGTCACATAATGCCTAAAAAAATCGGACGCAATGTACTGAGCAAGATAGGATCACATACTTAAAAACACATTTCATTTGTTATATTACCTCTGTTGGATTTTGAAAGACAAATCTTCCATCAGCTGCAGCTCGTTGATTTGGTAGCCGGTGTATTCCAGCAACATTTTCTGAAGAATTTCTGTGAACTAAAAGTAAACGTTACACTACATTTTAAAATGCAAATATGACAAACACAAAATCCTCCTTTATATTCTAAATTGGCATTTTCTATTCTAAGTACACCAAAGATATAGGGAGTCACGTAAATGCAACATTTCAAAAGTCAAAAGTTTGCATGCACTCACCCATGAAGATGTATGTTGTGACATGATTATATCTCTGTTTAAAAAATTGATCTCTTTTTGTCCAGTCTCATATTAAAGTTTCTATCGTGAATATTTTTTCTTCAAAAAGGGCCTCAAGCCAATTATTTTGATATCAATGACTTGTTCTTATCTCAGTAGACATATTCAACTACTTCTTTTTGGTGGAACATAGTCAGTAGAAATGATTTTGTGACATCTTCCTCAACTGGCCTCTTAACCACAAACCATCCCCCACCAACTTCACTCAGGAAAGAAAACAACTTTTTTTAAAAAGCTATTCTCACAAAAGCAACAAAAGAAAAGTGTGCTTCTTTGGATAAGATGTTAGATCTCCCAACTCCTGACACTAATTCATGAATCAAAGCAAAAATGTCTGTTTCAGACACAATAGTGTTTGGTTCACAGACACAAACAACGAGCAGCAACAACTGTTCCAAAAATTTGATTTGCCAAGTCTGTCGTTGGTGTTGCTAAGCACTTGGTGCCCTCATCTGGATATGCATTGTAACCATGCAACTGAGCGAATATGAGGAACATTTAAGGCTTTAATCACTTTGACAACCAAAATGGAACAGGGATTATTATGGGTTCTAGAAAGAAAAAAAGTAATTAACGCATCTTTCTCTCTTCTCTTGAATAAATGACAGTTTGCAATTATATCATGCCTTTTAAAATCAAAATGTACATTTTATGAATGTCCTACACTAACTAGAAGAAACATCACACCATGCTGTGTAAGTTGATGATCTACCTCACAATTGTTTGACCTTTTAGGATTCTGTTAAACAAGCACATACTCACAAACTATAGCAGAATTTGTATTGCAACTTTTAGCTTTTCAAATACTTGACATTGACACAAAACAAAATCACAAAATAGCAGAAATTTCATATACTGGAAGTTGGATATGTAAAACATGATATTAAAAATATACAGCATGTTCTTCACCATCTAAAGTGATGAATCAGAAGTTCAGACGTTGTCAGAACTGATAAAATATTGCTAACAAATGATTGCGTGATTAGGAAAGATGGAACAAGATACGTAGAACAGTAAATTATGGATCCAATCAGGGATCAGGCCATTTTTTGGATCTGGTCTTGTGCAATGAGCCAGGTTTAATAAATTATCTCAGGTTAAAATAACCCCTACCAAACAATGACCACAACATGGTAGAATTTAGCATTCAGTTTGAGTAGGAGAACCTTGAGTTAGAAACAACTGCCTTAAACTTAAAGGTAATTTCAAAGGACAAGGGCAAAGCTGGCTGGAGTTGACTGGGAAGGAGTTTAGCAGCCATGATGGTTGAGGAACAATGGTAGACATTTAATAGTTCACGACTCAGCAAAGATGTGAGAAAGAAGGATTCTAGGAAGAGGATAAGCCAACCATGATTAATTAGGAAAGTTAATTATAGCGTCAAATCAAAATATTTTTTAAAAATGCAATGTGGCACAGATTAATGGTAAGCCAGAAGATTTGGGATTTTTAAAAAATCCATGAAAGAGGGCCAAAGAAAGAGGGAGAAAATAAAATATCAAGATGGGTAGCAAGAGCTTCTTTAAGTACATAAAGACAGGGGCCAAAGTAAACACAGGTCTCTTAGCAAATGAGGATGGGAAAAATAAAAATGGGGAACCAGGAAATGGCAGATGAGTTGAATAAATACTTTGCATCAGACCTTATAGTAGAAGAGCCCAAGTGCATTCCAAAAGTACTAAAAAATCAAAGGGCAAAATGGGGCAAAGAAATAAAACTATCACTAGAGGAAAAAAGTATTAGGGAAACTAATGGTGCTAAAGACCAACAAGTCCTCTGGACCTAATGGGATGCATCCTAGGATATTCAATAAATTAGCTACAGAGATAGTGGGTGCACTGATAGTAATCTTCCAGGAGTACTTAGATTCTGAGAAAACGCTAGAGTCTATTATAAAAGATTAATAGCAAAGCATTTAGCAATACATACTATAATCAAGCAAAGTCAGCATGGATCAATGAAAGGGAAATCATGCCTCACAAATTTATAAAAAATTCTGAAGATGTAACAAGCAGGGGAGATAAAGGGGAAGCAGGGGATGTGATATATTTGGATTCGCAGAAGGTATCTGATAAGGTGCCATACATTCAGTTATGTACTAAGACAAGAGCTAATGATCTTGGGGAAGTAATATTATATTGAGGATTGGCTAACTAATAGAATATGGAGAGTTGTGATAAAGGGAGCATTTTCCGGTCTGCAACCTGTGACTAGTGGTGTGCCAAAGGAATCAATGCAGTAGCAAAGGTAGGATATACCATCATGAGAGGCACTCCAGAGAGGACAGCTTGAGAAGGTTGGGCCTGGACTCACTGGAGTTTGGAAGAATGAGAGGTGACACTATTGAAACACACAAGATCATTAGAAAGCTTGAAAGAGTCTTAGAGACATAGAGATATACAGCACGGAATCAGACCCTTGGGTCCAACTTGTCCATGCCAACCAGATATCCTACATTAATCTAGTCTCATTTGCCAGTATTTGGCCCATATCCTTCTAAACCCTTTCTATTCATATACCCACCCAGATGCCTTTTAAATGTTGTAATTCTACCAGCCTCCACCACTTCATCTGGCAGCTCATTCCACAGATGCACCACCCTCTGCATGAAAAGGTTGCCTCTTAGGTCTCTTTTAAATCTTTCCTCTCTCACCTTAGACCTGTGTCCCCTAGTTTTGAACTCTCCCACCCCAGGGAAAAGACGTTGTCTATTTACCCTATCCATGACCCTCATGATTTTATAAACATTTACAAGGTCATTGCTCAGCCTCTGACACTCCAGGGAAAATAGCCCCAGTTGATTTCAGCCTCTCCCTATAGCTCAAACCCTCTAACCCTGGCAACATCCTTGCAAATCTTTTCTGAACCCTTTCAAGTTCACAACATCCTTCCTATAGCAGAGGGATCAGAATTGCACACAGAATCACAAAAGTGGCCTAACCAATGTCCTGTACAGCCGCAACATGACCTCCCAGCTCCTATACTCAATGAAAGCCAAAAGAACTGCGGATGCTGTAAATCAGGAACAAAAACAAAGTTGCTGGAAAAGCAAGTTCTGAGGAAGGGTCACTGGACCCGAAACATTAACTCTGTTTTTTCCTTCACAGATGCTGCCAGACCTGCTGAGCTTTTCCAGCAACTTTGTTTTTGTTCCTATACTCAACGCACTGACCAATACAGGGAAGCATACCAAACGCTTTCTTCTCTATCCTATCTACCTGTGACTCAACTTTCAAGGAACTATGAATCTGCACTCCAAGGTCTCTTTGTTCAGAAACACATCCCAGGACCTCACCATTAAGTGTATAAGTCCTGCCCTGATTTGCCTTTCCAAAATGCAGCACCTCACATTTATCTAAATTAAACTCCGTCTGCCACTCCTCAGCCCATTGGCCCATCTGATCAAGATCTGGTTGTACTCTGAGGTAATCTTCTTCACTGCTCACTACACCTCTAACTTCGGTGTCATCTGCAAACGTAATAACCATACCTCCTAAGTTCACTCTGTCTTCTACCTTCAAGCCAGTTCTGTATCCATCCAGCTCTACACCTTGTTATCTCAGATTCTCCAGCGTCTGCAGTTCCTACTATCTCTGATACAATTTTAACCCCACTGCGAAGCCTCTTCTAAGGATGCCTAGCCTGAAGAAGTTACCCTCCTCCCTCCGGACAAACCTCAGGGGATCTCTCTCCCACTGCAACTCTCTCGTCATCTCTTCGACCTTGAAACTGCTCGACCATGTCCTGAAGCAAACCAGGTACTACAGCCACATCACCTTTCTTAGTACCTGCCTACGGAACCAGATCATCCCCAATGAACTACAGTCCACATTCAGGCCTTCCCAATTTGGCCCCGGCTGTGACAATGTCTACATTCATAGCATTGAGATCCCTCAGAAGCGTTTCTCCCTGCGACTCCTGAAACACACACTCGCAGCAATGCGCCGGCATCTCCGGGCACTACAATCAAGCCTACCCCAGCTCAGAGCCTCCCTCTCCCAGACCTGCAAAGGACCTCTCCTGTTTTTTATTCTTCGTAGGATCCACAACCTGAACTCACAATTCTACTCAGCTTTATTGGACACTAAAAACCGTAAGTACAGTAAACTTACTGGTGCCTGCCACCCAAAACGGGCTTCCTCCACCTCCCAAATCCCCAGCCGTACCCAGGACCTTCCCCACAATGTGCCCGCCGCCATTGGCCATGTGGCCACTGTCGGAGCACCCACAGATTACGTCACATCCGCCACTGCCGGGTTCCCCACTTCCGGGACAGCGAACGCCATCACTGCTGATGCCACTGCCTCCATTTCCGAGACCAACACCACAGACACTGAAGACGTGCCTACCGTCACCACTGCTGCCGCCGCCTACCCCGCTCCGCCCACCGCCAACGCCGCTCCGCCCATCACCGATGCCGATGCAACTCCGCCCACCGCCGACGCCGACGCAACCCCATCCACCACCGACGCCGACGCAACCCCGTCCACCGCTGACGCCGACGTCGCTCCGCCCACAGCCTCCACAGCCAGCAGCTCCAGAGGAGACAGCAACACCCAGCCCTGCCGAGTCATCACAATCCCCCCAGACCTCCCCCTTACTGAGCACGAACGGTCAGTCCTCAGTAAAGGGCTCACCTTTGTCCCCGTCCACCCACACATCAATGAATACCGGTCACGTTTGGACATAGAGCAGTTTTTCCGCCGCCTCTGCCTCCCCGCTTACTTCTTCAACCGTGAACCTAACCCTCCCTCCACTGACCCCTTCTCCCGCCTCCAACA